CATCACCACAACACTTGTCTCACACTCTTGTTACCATCACACACAACACTTGTCTCACACTCTTGTTACCATCACACCACAACACTTGTCTCACACTCTTGTTACCATCACACACAACACTTGTCTCCACCTCTTGTTACCATCACACACACAACACTTGTCTCACACTCTTGTTACCATCACACACCAACACTTGTCTCACACTCTTGTTACCATCACACAACACTTGTCTCACACTCTTGTTACCATCACACAAACACTTGTCTCCACTCTTGCCATCCACACACAACACTTGTCTCACACTCTTGTTGCATCACACACAACACTTGTCTCACACTCTTGTTGCCATCACACACAACCACTTGTCTCCACACTCTTGTTACCATCACACACAACACTTGTCTCACTCTTGTTACCATCACACACAACACTTGTCTATACCATCACCTCCACACTCTTGTTACCATCACACACACAACACTTGTCTCACACTCTTGTTACCATCACACACAACACTTGTCTCACACTCTTGTTACCATCACACAACACTTGTCTCCACTCTTGTTACCATCACACACAACACTTGTCTCCCACCACACCTCCACTCTTGTTACCATCACACACAACACTTGTCTCACACTCTTGTACCATCACACACCCCACCCCAACCACACAACCTTGTCTCACCTCTTGTTACCATCACACACACAACACTTGTCTCACTCTTGTTACCATCACACACAACAACACTTGTCTCACCTCTTGTTACCATCACACACAACACTGTCTCCACTCTTTTACCATCACACAACCTTGTCTCACCTCTTGTACCATCCACCAACACTTGTCTCACACTCTTGTTGCCATCACACACAACCTTGTCTCACTCTTGTTACATCCACACACAACCACTTGTCTCACACTCTTGTTACCATCACACACAACACTTGTCTCACACTCTTGTTACCATCACACCTACACTTCCACACTCTGTTACCATCACACCACTTGTCTCACACTCTTGACCACCACCCTTACCATCACACACAACACTTGTCTCACACACTCTTATTTACCCATCACACAACTTGTCTCACACTCTTGTTACCATCACACACAACACTTGTCTCACACTCTTGTTGCATACACACAACACACTCTTGTTACCATCACACACAACTTACTTGTCTCACACTCTTGTTGCATCACACATAACCTTGTCTCACACTCTTGTTACCATCACACACAACACTTGTCTCACACTCTTGTTGCCTCCACACACACAACACTTGTCTCACACTCTTGTTGCCATCACACACAACCTTGTCTCACACTCTTGTTGCCATCACACAACCTTTGTCTCCTCTTGTTTTGCCATCACACTGGCTTGGCAATCTCACACTCCTTGTTGCCATCACACTGTGCTTGTCTCCACTCTTGTTACCCTTCTTTTGCTTGTCTCACACTCTTGTTACTGCATCACCTTGTCTCCTCTTGTTGCCATCACAACCTTGTCTCCTCTTGTTACCATCACACAACCTTGTCTCACACTCTTGTTACCATCACAACACTTGTCTCCCCCTTTCATTACCATCACACACTTGTCTCACACTCTTATTTACCATCACACAACACTTGTCTCACACTCTTATTGCCATCACACCTTGTCTCCTCATTACCCATCACACACACTTGTCTCCCTCTTGTTACCATCACACAACCTTTGTCTCTCACACTCTTGTCACACACACTTGTCTCACACTCTTGTTGCCATCACACTTGTCTCTTGTTGCCATCACACCAACTGCTTGTCTCACACTCTTGTTGCCATCACCACACAACACTTCCTCACACTCTTGTTGCCATCACACAACACTTGTCTCCACACTCTTGTTACCATACAACACTTGTCTCACACTCTTGTTACCATCACAACACTTGTCTCCACACTCTTGTTGTCACAACCTTGTCTCACACTCTTGTTGCCATCTTTAACCTTGTCTCACCTCTTGTTACCTCACACCCCTTCTCACACTCTTGTTACCATCACACACCTTGTCTCACACTCTTGTTACCATCACACACAACACCCCATCCCATCTTGTTGCCATCACACACAACACTTGTCTCCTCTTGTTACTGCATCTGTGTCCTCTCTTGTTGCCATCACAACACTTGTCTCACACTCTTGTTGCCGTCACAACCTTGTCTCTGCCTTGTTGCCATCTTTTACCAACCTTGTCTCACCTCTTGTCACACACAACCTTGTCTCACACTCTTGTTACCCATCCACAACCTTGTCTCACACTCTTGTTACATCACACAACCTTGTCTCCCTCTTGTTACCATCTTTTACACAACACTCTTGTTACCATCACAACCTTGTCTCACTCTTGTTACCATCACACACACTTGTCTCACACTCTTGTTACCATCACACTTGTCTCACACTCTTGTTACCATCACACAACCTTGTCTCCCCTCTTATTACCATCCCCACACAACCTTGTCTCACACTCTTGTTACCATCACACAACCTTGTCTCACACACTCTTGTTACACATCCACACACAACACTTGTCTCACACTCTTGTTACCCATCACACACATGTCTGTTGCTGTCTGTGTCTCACACTCATGCCGTCACTGACAGCAATGTCACTCTTGTTGCCATCACACACAACACATCTCTGCCTCTTGTTGCCATTCTTTGTCTCACACTCTTGTTGCCATCACAACACTTGTCTCCCACACTCTTGCTTACTTGTCTCCCTCTTGTTACCATCACACACAACACTTGTCTCCCTCTTGTTACCATCACACACTTCTTGTCTCCCTCTTGTTACCATCTTGTGTCTCTCTTGTTACCATCACACACAACACTTGTCTCACACTCTTGTTACCATCACACACACTTGTCTCACACTCTTATTACCATCCCACACACTTGTCTCACACTCTTTACCATCACACACTTGTCTCTTGTTACCATCACAACCTTGTCTCACACTCTTGTTGCCATCACACACAACACTTGTCTGCCTCTTGTGCCATCACACTGCTTGTCTCACACTCTTGTTGCCATCACACTGACGCCCAGTCTCCACATGCGTTGCCATCACACACAACCTTGTCCTCACACTCTTGTTGCCATCACACACAACACTTGTCTCCACACTCTTGTTGCCATCACACACAACACACCTCTCCCTCTTTGTTACCGTCACACACACACAACGTCTCCACTCTTGTTGCCATCACACTGCTTCAACCTCACACTCTTTGTTGCCATCACACACAACACTTGTCTCACACTCTTGTTACCATCACACACACCTTGCTTGTCTCACACTCTTGTTACCATCCCCCGCTTACTTATCTCACACTCATTTACCATCACACTAACACTTGTCTCACACTCTTGTTCCATCACCCACACAACTTGCTTGTCTCTACACTCTTGTTACCATCTAGCTTGCTTGTCTCACACTCTTGTTACCATCTAACACTTGTCTCACATATTGCCATCACACACAACACTTATATATTTGTTACCATCACACTGACTTTGTGTCTCACACTCTTGTTACCATCACACACAACATGTCTCACACTCTTGTATCACACTGCTTGCTTGTCTCCACACTCTTGTTACCATCACACTTGTCTTTATATATACCATCATTTGTCTCACACTCTTGTTACCATCACACACAACTTACTTGTCTCACACTCTTTGTTACCATCACACTTTGTCTCACACTCTTACCATCACACAACACTTGTCTCACACTCTTGTTACCATCCCCTTGTCTCACACTCTTATTACCATCACACACTTACTTGTCTCACACTCTTGCATCACACACCTTGTCTCACACTCTTTACCATCACTCTCCTGCCATGATAAACCCCCATAACTTGTCTCACTACCATGATAAACCTCCATAACTTTCTCACTACCATGATAAACCTCCATAACTTGTCTCACTACCATGATAAACCTCCATAACTTGTCTCACTAGCATGATAAACCTCCATAACTTGTCTCACTACCATGATAAACCTCCTAGCTTGTCTCACTACCGATAAACCCAAAACTTGTCTCACTACCGCAATAAACCTCCATAACTTGTCTCACTACCCTGATAAACCCCATAACTTGTCTCACTAGCATGATAAACCTCCATAACTTGTCTCCACTACCATGATAACCCATAACTTGTCCACTAGCATGATAAACCTCCTAACTTGTCTCACTACCATGATAAAACCCCATAACTGCCACTACCATGATAAACCTCCATAACGTCTACTACCATGATAAACCCCATAACTTGTCTCACTACCACGATAAACCTCCATAACGTCTCACTACCACGATAAACCCCATAACTTGTCTACTACCGATAAACCTCCAAACTTGTCTCACTACCATGATAAACCCCTAACTTGTCTCACTAGCAGATAAACCTCCAAAACTTGTCTCACTACCATGATAAACCTCCGCATTGTCTCACTAGCATGATAAACCTCCAAAACTTGTCTCACTACCATGATAAACCCCCCATAACTTGTCTCACTAGCATGATAAAACCTCAAACTTGTCTCCACTACTGATAAACCTCCACTAACGTCTCACTAGCATGATAAACCTCCAAAACGTCTCACTACCACGATAAACCCCATAACGTCTCACTAGCATGATAAACCTCCACTAACGTCTCACTACCATGATAAACCCCCATAACTTGTCTCACTAGCATGATAAACCTCCATAACTTGTCTCACTACCATGATAAACCCACTACTTGTCTCACTACCATGATAAGCCCAACTTGTCTCACTAGCATGATAAACCTCAAAACTTGTCTCACTACCATGATAAACCTCCACAGCTTGTCTCACTAGCATGATAAACCTCAAAACTTGTCTCACTACCATGATAAACCCCCATAACGTCTCACTAGCATGATAAACCTCCAACTTGTCTCACTACCATGATAAACCCCCATAACTTGTCTCACTAGCATGATAAACCTCCAAAACTTGTCTCACTACCATGATAAACCTCCATAGCTTGTCTCACTACCATGATAAACCTCCATAACTTGTCTCACTACCATGATAAACCTCCATAACTTGTCTCACTAGCATGATAAACCTCAAACTTGTCTCACTACCATGATAAACCTCCACTTGTCTCACTACCCATGATAAACCTCCATAACTTGTCTCACTAACATGATAAACCTCCAAAACTTGTCTCACTACCATGATAAACCTCCATAACTTGTCTCACTACCCGATAAACCTCCATAACTTGCTACTACCCATGATACTCCATAACTTGTCTACTGCAACGATAAACCTCCATAACTTGTCTCACTACCATGATAAACCTCCATAACTTGTCTCACTACCGCGATAAACCGCCATAACTTGTCTCACTACCACGATAAACTGCCATAACGTCTACTACCGCGATAAACCGCCATAACTTGTCTCACTACGCTGATAAACCTCCATAACGTCTCACTACCATGATAAACCTCCATAACGTCCCACTACCACAATAAACCTCCATAACGCCTCACTACCATGATAAACCTCCATAACTTGTCTCCTACCATGATAAACCTCCATAGCTTGTCTCACTACCATGATAAACCTCCATAACTTGTCTCACTACCGATAAACCTCCATAACTTGTCTCACTACCACAATAAACCTCCATAACGTCTCACTACCATAATAAACCTCCTTGCCTCACTAGCATGATAAACCTCCATAACTTGTCTCACTACCATGATAAACCTCCATAGCTTGTCTCACTACCATGATAAACCTCCATAACTTGTCTCACTACCATGATAAACCTCCATAACTTGTCTCACTACCATGATAAACCGCCATAACGTCTCACTACCATGATAAACCGCCATAACTTGTCCTCACTACCATGATAAACCGCCATAACTTGTCACTACCACGATAAACCTCCATAACGTCTCACTACCGATAAACCTCCATAACATTCCCACTACCAATAAACCTCCATAACTTGCCTCACTAGCATGATAAACCTCCATAACGTCTCACTACCCTGATAAACCTCATAGCGTCTCACTACCATGATAAACCTCCATAACGTACCACTACCACGATAAACCTCCATAACTATTCTCACTACCATGATAAACCTCCATAACTTGTCTCACTACCATGATAAACCTCCATAGCTTTTCTCACTACCATGATAAACCTCCATAACTTGTCTCACTACCATGATAAACCTCCATAACGTCACTACCATGATAAACCACCATAACTTGTCTCACTACCATGATAAACCTCCTTAACTTGTCTCACTACCATGATGGATAAGTTTTTGTGATGTGTTGTAGTATGAAACATGAAAGTAGTTTTATATCTTGTTTTAACTTTGATAAATGATTCGTGTCTGGAAGTATGAACAAATGTGCAATATATTTATGCAGGAACCTGTGTGTGTGTGTGTGTGTGTGTGTGTGTGTGTGTGTGTGTGTGTGTGTGTGTGTGTGTGTGTGTGTGTGTGTGTGTGTGTGTGTGTGTGTGTGTGTGTGTGTGTGTGTGTGTGTGTGTGTGTGTGTGTGTGTGTGTGTGTGTGTGTGTGTGTGTGTGTGTGTGTGTGTGTGTGTGTGTGTGTGTGTGTGTGTGTGTGTGTGTGTGTGTGTGTGTGTGTGTGTGTGTGTGTGTGTGTGTGTGTGTGTGTGTGTGTGTGTGTGTGTTGTTGTGTGTGTGTGTGTGTGTGTGTGTGTGTGTGTGTGTGTGTGTGTGTGTGTGTGTGTGTGTGTGTGTGTTGTGTGTGTGTGTGTGTTGATGATGATGATGATGATGATGATGATGATGATGATGATGATGATGTATATGATGATGATGTGTGTGTGATGATGATGTGTGATGATGATGTATTGTGTGATGATGATGATGATGATGTGTTGATGATGATGATGTGTAGTGATGATGATGTGATGATGTGATGATGATGATGATGTGATGATGTGATGTGATGATGATGATGTGATGATGATGATGATGATGATGATGATTATTGATGATGATGATGATGATGATAGTATTGATGATGATGATGTGATGATGATGATGATGATGATGATGATGATGATGTTGATGATGATGTTGATGATGATGATGATGTGATGATGATGATGATGATGATGATGATGATGATGATGTATGATGATGATGATGATGATGATGATGATGATGATGATGATGATGTGATGATGATGATGATGATGTTATGATGATGTGATGATGATGATGATGATGATGATGTGATGATGTGTCAGTGTGTGATGATGATGATGATGATGATGTGTGTGTGTGTGTGTGTGTGTGTGTGTGTATTGATGTGTGTGTGTCCAACAGACCTAAAACATGTGCCATTGTGGTATTTGTTGTCTTTCACTCAAACTGCAATGTTATTGACATCACCCATAAGATAGTGACAAATTAATTTATATTCTCACATTTCAGTATTGTTGTTGTTATTATTATTATTATTATTATTATTATTATTATTATTATTATTATTATTTATTATTTATTATTTATTATTATTATTATTATTGTTATTATTATTTGTTTGTCTGGCAGAGGGTGGGTGGGTGGGTGGGTGATTTTTCACCTAAAACCTAAACTACCAGTACTATTACATTACCTAATCCAATCTAACTCTGATTTTTTTTTTTTTTTTATCCTCTTACGCCACTGATAGCATTGCGCTTGAGAGGCGATCGGTCCCGACTCTTTTCCTTTATATTCTTCACCAAAAATGGTCGTAACGCCTCTACAGGCGTCGGTCACGTCTCTGTCACGCACTGTTGGAAATACTGGGCATGCACGGCTCCTGAATGTACCTGAACCCGCTCCAGTGTTGGTCAAGTCTTCTCTTGAAAAGGCTCACACTCGGTGCCGTCCACAACACTTTCTGGTAGATTGTTCCAAGAGTTTACAACCCTCACTCGAAAAAGTTTGCGCGACTCTTTTCCTTTATATTCTTCACCAAAAGGTCTTTCCTTCAACACCCGGCGTCGGTCACGTCTCTGTCCGCACTGTTGGCAAATACTGGGCATGCACCGGCTCCTGAATGTACCTGAACCACTCCAGTGTTGGTCAAGTCTTCTCTTGAAAACTGACACTCGGTGCGTCCACAACACTTTCTGATAAACTGATCTAACCTGAGCATAGAAGTGGTTGCCAAAGGCCTGATGGGGCTATGAGGGACAGTGGAGACAAGACACTGTCTACTAAGCCTTCAAGACATAAGGAGGCAGTGTACCTAACCTCCCTCGCCTCCCCATTTACTGCTGGGTGACTGGGAGTGCTTGACCTGGGATCAAACCATATACCCTTAGGACATGAGATAAGTGCTGTATCCACTCAATCCTTAACCTCAACTATTGTGGGGTTTTATTAAGGAAGAGGGGGTTAACTACCTTCCTCATTAGTCAAAAGTGTAGTTTAGTTTGCCAGTACAGTAGTGTGAACCATAACCTGGAAAGTTACCACATGAAGCTCCATTAAAGAAAATGGTTTAAAATTTTTGTACTGTATCTGGATATGGTCGAAGGCAGTGTGCCATTATTTTTTTATTAGACATTCCTGTGGGACGTCGACAAAATTAAAGTTAACATGATACAGTGTAAACAATATGATGGTTGTGCGCTATTTGCTGAGAACTACAGGAAGAATGGTGACAGATTTAACATGAGTACTGTATGTGGAAAAATGACTTGGATGTTGTTTGGTTAATTGAGATGATTTACAGGTGTTGTAGGTGGAAGGACACAAAGAGACAGATGTGTGCTTCTTGGAATCAGATGTGGCATTAGTAGTTGTACAGGCATTCACAACATGTGCCAATGATTGTACACACTAATTTCTTATCATATGTGAAAGATGAAATGAATCTTTCAGTTATTAATGTAATATTGAATTGGAAGGTTGCTTTGAGATTATTGTTGTGACACTGATATTTGGTATCATGGTAAACAGGAGGGTTTAGTATGTCGGAACATTTATATCACCATAGAATGTTTTGGAGGGAGCTATTCACAAGCCATCTTATGTAGATTAAAGACACGATCTAAACTTTGTCTTGTGTACGTGGTGCTGTAGTGAGGGGATGGAAGATGTGTCTCAACAGTGTCATGACAATGAGGTCCCAGATAGGAAAAAATATCTCAAAATCAAATGACCAAGTTATTGCATGAAACCTCAGAGAAGTGATTAAAATTTGATAAGTTGATTTGCTGTGGATACTATGTTGTCCTGTGAGTGTACTATAGTGTACTGGGATGTCTTAACTCCTATAGTGTACTGGGATGTCTTAACTACTATAGTGTACTGGGATGTCTTAACTACTATAGTGTACTGGGATGTCTTAACTCCTATAGTGTACTGGGATGTCTTAACTACTATAGTGTACTGGGATGTCTTAACTACTATAGTGTACTGGGATGTCTTAACTACTATAGTGTACTGGGATGTCTTAACTACTATAGTGTACTGGGATGTCTGACAACCATCCCACTCAGTGGACGAGGGATGAGTCAAGGTGGTTGTTGTGACAGCTAGCACACATGACAGCTTTGGTTTGTGCAGTCACTGGCCAACAAGACATCCATAGTGACGGTGTTTTATTCAGCCACAGTTACTTGGTTTTATAATGTACAATACTGTATTGGATAAACCATTGTAGTGGGTAGAATTGTTCGATTTTTGCCCAAAGGGTAAAATAATCTTATACAATGGCTGGACACAGTACTGTAGTATACTGTATGTGTGTTGATGCTGTCTGACAGGTTAGGTGGACCAAAGTGTTATAATAATGTACTGTATTTGAAGGTGTTGTTATGCTCATCTGATTACATTGTTTGACACATTTATTTTTATTTAAGTATGACAGTACAATATGGAATATGTTTACAAGGATGATCAATAAATGTATCTTCAAACTTTATTCTTTTTATTTATTTTTTAACCTTAGTAATGTTCAGTAGGAAAATACAAAGACCAGTGCAGGGACCATACCCAAGAATTGAAAGAGATTAGGTGAAGAAAGCGAATTACAAAATGAAAGATGGAAAAGTCACTGGAAACTCTGGGATAGTTGTAGAAATGCTGAAGCATCAGGCGATGTCAATGGTAACAAAATTGACTAATGCAATAATGATGAAATGTACTGCATCAGGTGGGAATTACAGGGGCCTGAAGCTGTTAGAGCATGTAATAAAAGTCACAGAAAAAGTGATTGAGAAATTGATAAGGGAGAGAGTAAACATAGATGAAATATAGTTGAGTTTATGCTAGGTAGGGGGACTACAGAGGCAATATTTATGGCCAAGCTGCTACAAAAGAAAATAGTACTTCGTATTTGTAGAGTTAACGAAGGCACCTAACGGGATACGACATGAAGTAGTAAAGTGGGCAACGAAGTAGCTATAATTCGAGGAGTACCTTGTTTGAGTGGTTATGGCATTATAAGATGGCTTAAAATTCTTTGAGAGGAAAGGTGAATGTAAGGGTCCATCAAGGGTGTGTTTAGAGTTCTCTTTTGTTTATCATGGTTTTGGAGGCTATATCATGGAGCTTTAGGACTGGTCTGCCCTGGGAGTGATTGTATGCTGATGACTTAGTGCTGGTAGCATATAGTATTGAAGAGGCAGTGGAGAAATGGAAGAATGGAATCGTCAAAAGGGCCTGAAAGTGAATCTGGTAAAAACAAAAGTATTGATTAGTGGTATGGGTAAGGGACCCATGGTGGAAAGTGGAAAATGGCAGGTGTTGGCAGCAATTCTATAATGTGTAACATGT